TGCTACTAAACTCCAGAGAGTTTTGCACAAGACACAGATGTTCCAGGTTCTGCTTTTGTGCCTGCTTCTTCTGGGGAACAGAATCGCTGTATATCCCTCAGAGAGGTGTTCCTATAACTCGGACCATTAAATGCTACCCACTGGCACGTTTCCATGCCCTTTCAAGATGGGACACTACTGGAAGGTTGACTGGGAAGACCAAATTATCTTACTGGAAGGCATTTAATTCACCTCTCTCCTTGTCCAAAGGTGCTCGAAACAGCTGTGACAGTCACCAATGAGGTTTTTAAACTAAGGGCTGGAGAAAAGCCAACAGGTGCAGAGGAGCACACGGTTTGGACAGAGACATCCCATGGGGAGGATCTATTAACTGGAATTCTCTATATTCTAGTAAAGAGTAGAGAATAGAAGTTGATAAAGTACAGGTAGGAACGCAAGAGAAACAGTCAAATGAAAAGTTTCAGAGTAGCAGCCGTGTTATTCTGTATCCGCAAAAAGAAAAGGAGTACTTGTGGCACCTTAGAGACTAACAAATTTATCTGAGCATAAGCTTTCGCGAGCTCATGAAAGCTTATGCTCAAATACATTTGTTAGTCTTTAAGGTGCCACAAGTACTCCTTTTCTTTTAAGTCAAATGAAAAGGAGTCCCGTTCAAGTACATCACATGAAGGCAGACAACTAAAAAGTGACACATTTTATAAGTACTTGTATATAAATGGTAGACGTCTAAATACTAACATGGGTGAATTTGAGTGCCTGGTATTAAATAAGGATATTGATATTATAGGCATCACAGAAACTTGGTGGAACAATGACAATGAATGGGACAAAAGTAATTCCAGTGTGCAAAATATATCGGAATGACAGAATAGGTCATGCTGGTAGAGGAGTGGCACTATATGTGAAAGAAAGCACAGAGTCAAATATAGTAAACATCTTAAATGAAATAAACTTTACTATAGAATCTCTATGGATAGAAATTCCATGCTGAGTAATAAAAGTATAGCAGTAGGGATAAACTCAGGGCCATCCCTAGCAATTCTGGGGCCCTTGGGGGACGGGGGGGAACCACCCCCCAGCACTCACCAGAGGCATGGCTGGGGCCGGGTCACTGCACTTCCTGCCGCCGGTGAGTGCAGGCCCTGCCCTGCTGCGGAGCTCAGGGGAATGGGGGCGGAGCTGGGGCAGAGCAGGGGCTGGAGCAGCACGCAGCTGCGCAGGGCACCAGGAAATTTGGTGCCCCAAATTTCCTGGTGCCCTACGCAGCTGCATACTTTGCGTATGGGTAAGGACGGCCCTGGATATATTACCGACCACTGGACCAGAATGGTGACTGTAAAATGCTCAGGGAGATTAAAAAAGCTATTAAAATAGAAAAAACCCTCAATAATATGGGGGATTTTAACTATCCCTATATTGACTGGGTACATTCACCTCAGGATGGGATGAAGAAATAACCCTTCTAGACACCATTAATGACTGCTTCTTGGAGCATGTAGTCCTGGAACCCACAAGGGGAGAGACAATTCTTGATTTAGTCCTATGCGGAACACAGGATCTGGTCCAAGAAGCGACTATAACTGAACCACTCAGTAACAGTGACCATAACGTAATTAAATTTGACATCCAGGGGTGGGGTGGGGAAGGAAGGAAGAAGAGGAATACCAAAGAAACCACCACAGTGATATTTCGATTCAGAAAGGGGAACTACACAAAAATGAGGAAGCTAGTTAAACTGAAATTAAAAAGAACAGTCACAAGAATAAAATGCCTGCAAGCTGCAGGGAAACTTTTTAAAACACAATAGAGGCTCAAATTAAATGTATACTCTAAATTAAAAAGAATAGTAAGAGGGCCCAAAAAATGCCACCGTGGTTAAACAGAGTAAAAGAAGTAGTTAGAAGCAAAAAGGCATACTTTAAAAGTTGGAGGTCAAATGAGGAAAATAAAAAGGAACATAAACTCTGGTAAATAAAGTGTAAAAATATAATTAGGCAGGCCAAAAAAGAATTTGAAGAGCAACTAGCAAAAGACACAGAAACTAACAGCCAAATATTTTTTAAGTATATCAGAAGCAGGAAGCCTGCTAAAAATGAGGCCACTGGAGGATCAAGGTGCTAAAGGAGCACACAAGGAAGACACGGACATTGAGGAGAAGCTAAATTAACTCTTTGCATTGGTTTTCATTGCAGAAGATATGAGGGAGATCCACACACTTGAGCCATTCTTTTTAGGTGACAAATCTTAAGAACTATCCCAGATTAAGACATCAATAGAGGAGGTTTGGGAACAAACTGATAAGTTACACAGTAATAAGTCACCAGGACCAGATGGTATCATCCAAGAGTTCTGAAGGAACTCAAATATGAAATTGCAGAACTACTAACTGTAGTTTGTAACCTATCATTTAAATCAGTTTCTGTACCAGATGACTGGAGGATAGCTAATGTGACGCCAATTTTTAAAAAAGGCTCCCGAGCCAATGCTGGCAATTACAGGCTGGTAAGCTTAACTTCAATACTGGGCAAATAGTTTGAAACTACAGTAGAGAACAGAATTATCAATCACATAGATGAACATGATTTGTTGGGGAAGAGTCAACACGGCTTTTGTAAAGGGAAATCATGCCTCACCAAACTACTAAAATTCTTTGAGGGGGTCAACAAGCATGTGAACAAGGGTGATCCAGTGGATATAGTGTACTTAGACTTTTAGAAAACATTTGACAAGGCCCCTCACCAAAGGTTCTTAAGCAAACTAAGCTGTCACGGGATAAGAGGGAGGGTCCTCTCATGGACTAGTAACTGGTTAAAAGACAGGAAACAAAGGGTAGTAATAAATGGTCAGTTTTCAGAATGGAGGGAGGTAAATAGTGGGGTCCCCCAGGGGTCTGTACTGGGACCAGTGCCGTTCAACATAGTCAGAAATGATCTGGAAAAAAGGGTAAACAGTGAGGTGCCAAAATTTGCAGATGATTCAAAATTACTCAAGATAGTTACATCCAAAGCAGACTCCGAAGCAATACAAAGGAATCTCACAAAACTTGGTTGACTGGGCGACAAAATGACAGTTGAAATTCAATGTTGATAAATGCAAATGCACATTAGAAATCATAATCCCAACTATACATATAAAATGATAGGGTCTAAACTAGCTATTACCATTCAAGAAAGGGATCTTGGAGTCATTGTGGATAGTTCTCTGAAAACATCCTCTCAATGTGCAGTGGCAGTCAAAAAAGCGAACAGAACGTTAAGAACCATTAGGAAAGGGATCGATAACACACTAAATACCATAATGCCGCTATATACATCCATGGTATGTCCACACCTTGAATACTGCATGCAGTTCTGGTCACCCCATCTCAAAAAAGACACATTAGAATTGGAAAAGGTACAGAGAAATGCAACAAAAATGATTAGGGGTATAGAACAGCTTCCATATGAGGAGAGATAAAAGACTGGGACTATTTAACTTGGAAAAGAGACAACCAAGGGAGGATATGAGAGAAAGTGAATAAGGAAGTGTTTTTTCCCCCTGCACACAACACAGGAACCAGGGGTCACCCAATGAAATTAATAGGCAGCAGGTTTAACACAAACAAAAGGAAGTACTTCACACAACGCAGTCAACTTGCGGAGCTCATTGCCAGGGGATGTTGTGAAGGCAAAAACTATAAATGGATTAAAAAAATAATTTAATTAGATAAGTTCATGGAGGATAGGTCCAGCGATGACTATTAGCCATGATAGTCAAGGATACAACCCCACGCTCCGAGTGTCCCTAAGCCTCTAACTGCCAGATGCTGTGACTGGAGAACAAGGGATGGATCATGTGATGATGAGCTGTTCTGTTCATTCTCTTTGAAGCACCTGGCATTGCCCACTGTCGGAAGACAGGCTACTGGGCTAGGTGAACCATTGGTCTGACCCAGTGTGGCCATTCTTACATCATAAGTGCACTGGAGGTGTTCACATGCTGAGTTTACCACTTGAAGATCAACATTATGACACTTGCAGAGTTACAGTGTGGATGTTTGCCAAGAAGCAGACCAACAGACATAAATTGCCACCGACAAGGGGTGCATTTATACCTGCTACCAGAAGTGCAAATCATCAAGCACGGAATGGCTCAAAGATGATCATGTGCATCCAAAACTACCCTCCTCCTCTCAGGCACAGATGGAGTGACCACACCAGTTGTGTGTAAAATACCGCGTGCTCCTGAATCCATCCTTAGCTAATCAAACGCTCACATGCACAGCCCAGATACTCATCACCCTGCAAATGTCTGGCCAGCAGCCTGCCTGTACAGAGATGTGAGAGTGCGGCACGAACAAGGATCAGTGCGACAATGTGCCTAGACTGAGAGGACCCCGATGATGACTTTGATGAAAACATGTTTTCAGTCCTACATGTCAAGGCTAACTTCCCTAGAATTAACAAAGAACCATGTCTTTTTTATGTAACCAATACATCCCAGGTAAAAGTACAGTTAAATAAAATCTGTTACCTTTATTGATCAAACTTGTAATCTCATTTAAAAAAAAAAAAAAAGATATCAGGTTAGTTTGACCGGATCCATTTAAATGCTCTAGGTTTGTTACGTTTGGTACTGTTGTGTTAGAGGGAGAAAGGGCTTTTGAGTGATACCCAACTGGACTCATTTCTGATGACACAGTATTAACAAAATTCCCACCAACTGGAAGCTCTAGATCTGGAGGCGGGGGCAAAGAGTGCCCCCTGCCATGCTGCAGAGGGTGAAACCACTGAATTGATAATTCTGGAGATAGTTAAGACTCAGCTGACACCTCTCTTGCCTTTCTATGGCTAAGGTGCCCCCAGAATGAGTTTTTACTACATTATGCTCCCAGACTATGAGTGCAGGATCCCAGCTGTGCTCTCGCCCAGCACTGGTACTGCAGGGGGCGCTACTGGTCAGGATCTGCTGTCCCCTGCAGTGCCCACTGGGGCCTAGAAAGGGCACCACCACGACTCTACCTTCATCCTCTCCTGGTGCCGCAGGATCATGTAGGCCACGCGGACGTGCATGGAGCACCATTTGCCAGGCTTCTACAAGAAAGATGGGAAAGCATCAGCTCCTGGGACACACCAGGGCAGTGCCCCCGCCTGGGCTATTCCCCCTTTGTGACCCGTTCCCCACAGCGCCCCCTGCTGGGCACAAGATGGGCTATCCCCCTGCCCGTTCCTCCCAGCGCCCCCTGCTGGGCACACACTGGCCTATTCCCCCCATGACCCATTTCTCACAGCACCCCCTGCTGCAACAAGTGAAGTTACAGGATTGGTACACGTGGTTACTTACCCTCAGGGAGGGTCTGAAAGGGTCCGTGAGCTACAAAAAGATAGAGAGCAGGCAGTTAGACAGGGATCCGTGCCCACACCCCCACGCCACGCAACCAGCCCACTGCCCCGCTCACCTGACCCCCTTTCTGGGATAAAGAGGGGGCGACAGCTCCCAGCCGCGATGGCAGCTCTGGGTTAGTGCTCTGGGGAGAGAGCAGGGCGTCAGGAGGCTACAAACAAACAAATCCCCCTACCACAGCCAGAGCCAAGATAGAGTCCTCCCTCCCATCCCTCCCGCACAATCACCTAGACTCCCAGCGTCCCCCCGCACCCCCCCACTCTAATCCATGAGATCCCACTAGCCTGCCAGAGCAGGGATACAACCCACGAGTTCTGGCTCCCAGCCGCTAACCCCTCCTTCCCCCCAGCTTTAACCCTCTAGGCCCCACTCCCCTCCCAGAGCTGGGAATGGACAACGTCTACTTCCCTGCTCACCTTAGGCTGAAAAGCCCCCTGCAGGGAGCCAAAGGAAACAGCAGGGGGCAGGACAGGTGGGATCCCAGACACGGTGGGAGGGAACGTGGCATAGAACTAGGAGGAGAGAGAGGGCATGGAGAGCTCACTGAGTGGAAACGGAAGCACCATCACTGCAGAGGTCTCCTAGTCCCTGGGGAATAAGCAGCACCCTGGGACCTCGGACCTCAACCCCCGGGAACACCCAGCACTACAACATGGCCCAGCCTCCCCCACCCACACTATATCCCAGCACCTGGGAACCCCCAGCACTGAGACACGTCCCCATCCTCCCGGTTATATCCCAATTCCCAGGAACCCCCAGCCCCAAGACGCAGCCCTGTCCCCCACCGCTATGCCCCAGCACCGAGACATGGTCTTGTCCTCTGGCTATCTCCCAGCTGCCGAGACACCCTGGCACCGAGACACAGCCCATATCCTAGCCCCTGGGAAGCATCGAGACACAGCCCTGTTCCCCACCATTACAGCCAGCCCCCGGGAAGAAACGGTTGCTCACCCTGGACAGTAACTGTGGTTCTTTGAGATGTGTCCCCCTCCGGGTGCTGCACTCTAGGTGTGCTTGCACCCCCTTGCCTTTGATTGGAGATTTCTCATAGCAGTGCCCCGGGCCGTTGTCATATAGCACTGCATGGGCAAACCGCCCTCAGCTGTCTCTACCATGAAGCTCCATAGCAGAGAACTCTGAAGGGAAGGGGGGCGGGGAGTGGAACACATCTCGAAGAACCACAGTTACTGCACAGGGTGAGTAACCGTCTCTTCTTCTCTGAGTAGTGTCCCTGTGGGTGCACCACTCCAAGTGACTACCAAGCAATTCCCTCTAAGGATGGGGCAGGCTTCAGAGTCGAGTCCAGTACGGAAGGAAGTACAGCTGAGCCAAACACAGCATCAGAAGCAGAGTTGTGAGTTATTGACAAGCGTTCTGTGAACGTGCATATAGAAACCCAAGTAGCAGCCTTACATATTTCAATCACGGGCACTTTTTTGAGAAATATAGTAGAGGTGAAAATGGACCTCGTAGAGGGAGTTCATATGCCCGGAGGTGCCTGAATATTACAAAATTTGTACAAAGAATTAATGCAGTCAGATATCCACTTGGCAAGTCTTTGATTAGAGACTCCAGGCCCTTTTGATCTATCTGCGAGTGAGACACACAATTTGGGGGTCTTTCTGAAGGGGTTAGTCCTTTCCAGATAGGAGGCCAGGGCTCTCCCAAGGTCAAGAGTGTGCAGCAATGCTTCTTGTTTATCTAGGTGAGGTTTAGGGTGGAAAATCAGCAGGTGAATGGGTTGGTTAATATGGAACTCAGAGGAAACTTGCGGTAAAAATTCGAGGTGGTGTCATAATGTGACCTCATCCTTAAAAAATTCGGTGAAAAAGGGCCTTTGTGGCATGTCCCCCAAGCAGCTGTGCCGATGGGATGGCTACCTGGAATGTTGTTTTCATTGATAAATGGAGCAGGTAGCTCAGTTTAAACTGTGATCTTGAAAGGCATTTAAGAACCAGATTGAGGGCCGAAATCGGATTAGGACACTTGACTGACCGATTCCGATTTCTGAGCCCCCTGAGGAACCTCTGGGGAACCCCCTGGGCAAGAACAGAATAGCCTTCTATTGGAGAATGGAAAGCTGGGGTGGCTCTAATGGAACTCAGCAATAGTCCCAAAATTTTTAGCATTAGGATACAGTCCAGTATATCTGGCAGTGATGAGGTCGGTGGAATATGTCGGAGGTCACACCAACAGACAAATCTTGCCCATTTTGGAGAGTATGTGTAGGAAATAAACTGTTTTCTGCTGTGTAACAGTATTCCTTAGCCTGCTGAGAGGAGGTAAGTCTCTAATCTCATGAGCCAACAGTGCTTTAAAATGAAGCTCTCCAAGATTGGGGTTAAGGATCTTCCAGCCCTTCCTGGGAGAGCAGGTGAGGAGCAATGTGGAGAGTGATCAGTGAGCAAACAATCCGCTGTATCAGGTAAAGAAATGATGTTTGTCTGGGCCTGATTAAAACTATTCGGATGACTCTGGCTCTGTCCCTTTTTATTTTGAGCAGAACTTTGGCTATCAGAGGAGTCAGTGGGAATACATGCAGTCGATCCGATGACCAATGAAGGCATCTCACAGGAATCAGTGACCCATTCTGCCTCTGGAGCAAAACTAGACACATCTCTTGTTTATCACTGTGGTGGATTGGAAATCTCGATCTGCCAATCGAGCGTCCTTTTCCAGTTTGGGACCTATCTGGGAGGTGCCCCATTACCAGAATATGTAGTGTAATATGCTGGAATCTATTTCTCACTCGTGGTCTTGGAAGAAGTGCCTACTGAGAGTATCCATGGTCACATTCTGCAACCCTGGAAGACAGGGTGCTGTGAAGACTCTCCGATTGCATAATCACCAACTCCAGAGCTTGACAGCCTCAGTGCAGAGGGAGGGGGGATCTTGCTTCTCCTTGCCGGTTAATATAAAACATGCATATGTTGTCCGTCACGACCTTTATGTACTTGCCCCTGATTAGTGGTAGAAACCGGAGAAAGGCGTATCTGACCACTCTGAGCTCCAGGAGGCTGATGCATAGCATGGTCTCTTGTGACGTCCATTTGCCTAGGGCCATGTGAGCATCCAGATGCTCTCCCCACCCTAGCATGGAGGCATCGGTCATTATGATGACCATTGGGAAAAGACGTACAAATGGGACTCCTGCACACGCACTGTGATGGTCTTTCCGACAACTGATGGACTGTTTTATGAAAGTGGGTATGGAAAGAAGCATATTTAAACTGTGTCTGTTTGGTGACTAAACACTCCTGAGCCACCCCTGAAGGCAGTACATTCAGAGTCTTGCGTGATCTACTAGCTGCCATGTGCCCCAACAATTGAAGACAGTTCTTGACCGAAGTTTGGGTGCTGAGCTGGATCATATTGGCGGTGTTGGAAAGGGCCACACACCAGCGCAGGACGTATGCTCTTGCTGTTACTGAGTCAAGATGCACTCCTATGAATGCCAAATTGTGCACAGGGGATAAAGGGGATTTTTGAATGTTCAGTTGTAGGCCCAAGTTGAGGCTTTGGAAGTGGCCCATGAAGTCAGCTCCAGGGAGTGACCCTTCAGCAGCCAATCATCCAGGTAAGGGAACCCTAGAATACATTTCCTGCGGAGCTGTGCTGCTATTACGGACATGACTTTCGAAAAGACCCTTGGGGCAGAGGACAGGCTGAAAGGGAGCACCCAGCTGACAGTAAAATGTCTATTGTGAGATGGGTGGATCGCAATGTGGAAATGCACATCCTGAAGGTCGAGGGCTGAGAATCAATCCCCTGGATCTAGTGATGGAATTAACACTGCACGTGTCACCATTTTGAAAGTTTGTGCCTTCACCTAAGTGTTGAGTAGCCTCAAATCTAGGATGGGTCTCCCAAGGCCATTCTTTTTTGGTACTAGGAAGTACCTGGACTAAAACCCCTTTCCTCTGTGCTTCATGGGAACTGGTTCTATAGCACCCGAGTGTAGGAGAGAGGCTATTTCCTGACAAAGGAAGCTCCTGTGAGAGGGGTCGCTGAAAAGGGATGGAGAAGGGGGGTTGGTCAGATGTGGAGGGGATGGTGTACCCTGTGGAGAAGATCTCCAAAACCCATCTAACTGTAGGGATCGACTCCCAAACTTGCCTGAAGAAGTAAAGGTGGTTGCCAAAGGGAGGAAAGCAGTGGAATTGGTGGAGCTGGTAAGGAGGAGGGTGGTAATTCAGAATCTCAACCAGCCCATCAGAATTGTCGCGGGGAGGTAGAATGGTGGAAGGCAGAAGACTGAGAGTTGGATGGCTTCCCTCTCTGGAATTTGGGTGTCTTCTGATATGGTTCTCACAGCCTCAGAGATCAGGAATTGAGCTGGACGGGATATCTGAGCTGTACCGGATTTGGTAAACCATCTCTTCTAGGCAGGCGTATAGATTCCAAGAGAACACAAAGTAGCCCTAGAGTCCTTTAATGTGCTCAGAGATTCATCTGTCCCATCTGCAAACAGTTTACACGAATCAAAAGGAAGGTCTTCCACTGTATTCGGCTCCTCTTTCGGAAATCCAGAGCTGGAGCCAGGAAGCCCTTCTCAGAACTACCACTGCAGAGATCGAATGGGCAGCAATATCAACAGCGTTGAGGGAGGCTTGTCGTGATGTTCTGGCAAGCAGCTGGCCCTCTGCAATAATTGCCTGGAATTGCTCTCTATGCTCCCCAGGTATGCGGTCAACAAGAGAGTTCAGTTTGGTGTAATTTACATGATTATTAGGCCCTACCAAATTCAAGGTAAATTTTGGTCAATTTCACGGTCATAGGATTTTAAAAATCATTAATTACATGATTTCAGCTATTTCAATCTGAAATTTCACAGTGCTGTAATTGTAGGGATCCTGACCCAAAAAGGAGTTGTGTGGTGGTCGCAAGGTTATTGTAAGGGGGGTTGCGGTCCTGCTGCCCTTACTTTTGTGCAGTTGCTGGCGGCGGCGCTGTGTTCAGAACTGGGCAGCTGGAGAGCGACAGCTGTTGGCCAGGAGCCCAGCTCTGAAGGCAGAGCCGCCGCCAGCAGCAGCCCAGAAGTAAAGGTGGCACGTAAATAATATTTCCGGGCTGCTGCTGCTGGCGGGGCGCTGCCTTCAGAACTGGGCACCTGGCCAACAGCCACCGCTCTCTGGCCACCCAGCACTGAAAGCAGCACAGAAGGGTGGCAATACCCCAATCTCCCTAAAATAACCTTGCAAACCCCCTGCAACTTCCTTTTGGGTCAGGACCCCCAATTTGAGAAACGCTGGTCTCCTCCGTGAAATCTGTATAGCATACGGTAAAAGCACATGAGACCAGACTTCACGGTCCGCAATGTGTTTTTCATGGCCGAGAATTTGGTAAACCCCTAGTGATTATGTTTCACCATTAATGCCTGATAGTTGGTTATTTTAATTTGTAAGGAGGCAGACGAATAAGATTTTCTACCAACTAGTTGTTAGGATATAGATATTCAGGCCTATCTGTAAAAGCCTACACTTTAAGAATTTAGGTATATGTTTATCATTTACCTAGTTATAGAAGTATAAAAGAAAGAATTGGTGTAAGAGCCTTCTCTCACTGTGACAGTCTGGGGCCCTGTTCTTAAGCTAAGGCCTTTGGCTAAGCAGTGGGAGCAGCCATAAGCTGAGAAACGTATGGTCACATCCTCACATTCCATACTAGTCATATTGAAATAAGGCAATCTGGGGCTGTTAGAAAGGTGAGCCGATCTATCAGTTCCAGAGAAAGAAAAGAACCTAGAAGATGTAAAAGGAAATTTAGTTTGATAGTTTTCTGTTTGGTAAGAACTCACTTAGACACAGCTGGGAAACCCTTATGTCTTTATAGATGTAGTTGTGAAATCCTCACTTCTGTATTGTTTTGTCATTATAGTTCCCACTTTGCTATTTATTTGCATGGTCTCTGTCTGGTTTTGTAATTGCTTCTGTCTGCTGTATAATTAATTTTGCTGGGTGTAAACTAATTGAAGTGGTGGGATATAATTGTTTAGCTAATCATGTTACAATACGTTAGGATTGGTTAGCTAAATTTCACTAAAATGGTTGGTTAAAGTATAGCTGAGAATATTACTATATAAATTGGAGGCAAACAGGAAGTAAGTTCAAATTCGAAAATAAGGAAAAAGGAACTTGGATTTAAGCTTGCTGGAAGGTCACCCCAACATCGAATTGTTTGCACCTTCAGACTTCGGATATTGTTGCTCTGTTCATGCGAGAAGGACCAGGGAAGTGAGAGGGTGAATGAAGAAGCCCCCTAACATGGGTCTAAATGTTTAGGAGTTTCTTCTTATAAAGTTTCTTCTTGAGGATCAGGTCTCCTAGAGAGGGAAGGCGATGAAGGTTGACTATCTTTGTGATTGGTGGTGCTCGAAGCCCTGGAAAATTGTTAATGATAGGCCCAAGGGTCCCAGTATGGCCAAGGAGGTGTTGCATAAGGCATAGGAGGGGGTGGTTGCAATCTTGTGCCATGAGTGGTCATAGACTCATAAGAGACTTCTGGAGAGGGGCCACTATAGGGGTGAGGAGGAGAGCCCTGGATCAGTATTTGGGAAACTGAGGCAAGGTCTTCATCAGAATCCTCTTCCTCAAACTCACTATGGAATGCTCACTATGGTGGCGTGCCTGGAGAAATCTGAGGGGAAACGGTAATTACCAGGTGAACTGGCCATCTCGATGCACTCGGTATGGAAAATACTTTGGAGACAGGCAGTGGAGAATTGGGTGCCTCATATACAGCGAGGTCCCAGGGAAGATTAAACTCCTGTGGTACCGACCGTGCTGTCAGTACCGAGTCCATAGTCTGCACTGAGCTGATGGTACTATGAGTCTCAGCTGCACTGAGGGAAACGTGGTCAGAGCCCAAGCGGGCTTCTTTGGTACCAAGGACGCAGAGGAAGAGCTTTTCTTGCTGCTTTGGTCTGCTAACAGTACCAATGATCTCGATGGGCCCGAGGCTTTGCCATCTTTTGGTCTAGTGGTGCCCTCGGAACCTGAGGAACCAGCAGCCTCATGGGTACCAGACTGGAGAACAGACAGTGCTGAAGTAGCTGAAGATACTATGACCTTGGCTTTTTTGAGACGGATTCTACCTCGTGAACTCAGGGCACGACCTTTGGAAGGCTTATGAGAGGAGTCTTGTGTCTTCCTCTACAATACCCTCAATGAAAGCAGTTGAGAGACAGTGGAGGTAGCATATTTTCCTGGAGACTGGTGTACAGGAGGAGTCCCTTGGCCTGGGTCAGAAGCAGGGGGTAGTGAGCTTTCCATCATGAGGAGCCGAAGTTTGATCTCCCCAATTTTTCTGGCTCTAGATTTCAATGCCAGACAGAATTTACACTTCTGGGCAATGTGCGATTCCCTGAGGCAACAAATGCACTGAGGAATGCCCGTAACAACAGACAACGTTTGACACTGGGAGAACCGGGCATAACCTTCCAGTGAACAGGAACTACCTTATCTACTAACTAATATCTATCCAAATGTAACACATTAAAAAAAATAATTATTTTTCATAACTAGGAAGCTAAAACTAATTACACTAATGTTAAGCACTACAAACTAACTACTACAATAACAGAGCAGGATCCAGCTGAGGTAATCTCAACGGGAACCGCTGTCAGAGCTCTGTCTCTGGCCGAGAAGGAACTGAAGGCGGCTCGCCCGTGCAGTGCTATATAACAACAGCACGGAGCAGGAGGCTGACAAGCATGCATGTGCGAGTGGACCTGACACTTCTATGAGAAATCTCCGACCAAAGGCATAGGGGGCACAAGCGCACCTACAGTGCAGCATCCATAGGGACACCGCTCGAAGAACCTCTCCTGGTATTGAGACATGCCCCCCCCCAAACACACAATACCCCAGCCCCCAGGAGCCCCGGCACCTAGAAACAGCCCTGCCCCCCCATACCCCAGCCCCCAGGAGCCCCGACATCTAGACAAAGCCCTGCCCCCCACAATATCCCAGCCCTTGGGAACCCCTGGAACAGGATAGTGGCTGCCAAGGCCGCACTCACGTTATGCCTCAGAAGCCCATCAATCTTGCCTGGGTATTTCTCAAACTGGAAAAGAAAAAAAGTGGGGTATAAGGGGAACCCAACACACCAGTGCTCTCTAGAGGCCCATGTCCTTTCCCCGCTCCCCCTGAGGCAGTGTCTCCTGCCCTGGGGTCAGACTGGAGCAGATGCCCCTGAAGGGTCACTCACCATGGCGGGGGCGGGCCCGGGCACCATGCCCGGTGGGAAGGGGGTGAAGTGCTGGTGCGTATGCTGGTGGGTATGCTGGTGCTGGTGGTTGTGCTGGTGGAACTGGAAGGCCAGCGGGCGGATGGCGGCTGCCCCCATGTCGGCCCCGCCCTGCGCTGTCAGGAACCGTGAGCTCAGGCCCTGCCGGATCAGCTCTTGTTCTGAGCAGGGAGAGGAGAAAGCAGGGGGTGCAGTTATCTGGGGGAGATGGGACCCCCTTGTAGCCTCTCCTGCTCAGACCCCCAGAGAGACGAGAGCACCCCCCACCAGCCTCATCCTGAGAAGTGAAACCCCTTCCACCACCACCACCAGCCGCCACCTCCCCACCCTCCCAGAGAGACGGGATCCCCCTGCCGGCCCCTCTCCCCTGGAGATATGGGAACCATCTTCTGCCTGCTCCACCCCTCTCCACTCTGCCAGCCCCTTCCCAGAAGAGATGGGACTCGCCCCACCAGCCCCTCCCTTCCCCCTCACCAGCCTCGCCATACACCCCCCACTCCCTCGTGCCTTCCTCCCAACTCACCGGATAAGGCTGCGGCTGCGGCCGGGTGCCCAGCGACCTGGAGCAGAGGGGGGGGTGGGGGCAGGCCCGGAGAAGGGGGAAAGAGGGGTGGGTGATGGTGGGTGGGGGGCCGCAGGGTGGAAGGGAAGGCGTGGGGGGGCAGGGCCAGCGAGGGGGTGGAGGGGCGGGGAGGAAGCTGCGAGGAGGAGGAGCACGGGGGCAGCAGGGGCTTGGCGTGTGCGCTGCTCCGGCTGCACCTGCAAAAGACAGAGAAAGAGAGAAAGTCAGCCCAGGGGAAAGAACGAGCGAGACCGAACAGGAGAAGAGTAGTTTGGGGGGGGGGGGGGGGGGAAGATGGGAGATGAGGGGGTAAGGAACGCAAGATAAGACGAGGGGGGGGGAGGGGGGATAGCACGCCTGAGAGAGAGCAAGAAAAGAATGAGGGAAAAAGGTGACAGAATGAAGGGGGAAAGAACAAGGCAGGAACGCACTCCCTAGCTCACTCACCCGGCGATGCTGAGGTCCAGCCCTGCTCCATAGGGCCCCGGCGGCGTGGGGCTGGCGAAGGGCGCTCCCTTCCCATGCACAGTGGGCTGGGGCAGGCTGTGGGGTGCTGGGCCCCCCTGTGGCGCCGACAGCTGACCCCGGGGCTGGGGCGTGGTGCGGGCAGCAGCCGGGTTGGGTGTCCGGGAGGGTGGCGGGGCTGGAGGAGTAGGAGCCCGGGCTGGGGCCACAGGGAGGGCTGGGGCTGCCTGAGAAAGGGGGTCCTTGGGCAGGAAAGGCACTAGCAGGGGGTCCCCGTCAGCCTCGTGGCTCCGCTCCTGGCTCCGCTCCAGCCCTGAGACCTTGGGGATCACAGAGAGTTTGGCTGCACAGCTCCCGTTCACTGCACCAACTGGGCCCGAGGCTGGGGAGAGAGACAGCACCCAGTGAGAGACCACCCAGCACCAGGGGGCACTCCCCTGGCTGCCAGTGCTGCCCCTGATGCCCCAATGCAGCGCTGGGGGTGGGGTGGGTGGGTGCTGCCATGCAAGGAGCGGGGTGGGGGGCTCAGTAGGAGGCATTCTCCCCAGCAGTCAGTGCTGCCCTATGCCCCAGTGCAGTGCTAGGGGGCTGTGACAGACTGTACCCCATGTTCCCACTTTTCAAAAAACTATGATAAATTGTGTACAAATGTATGCCTTGTGAGGTGGTAATAGAAAACTCATAATCTGCTGAACATTATCGTTCCAGTAAAATATGTGTGGCAACAATGTATGTGAAGTTATAAGATTATACTGTATTACATTGCTGTAACGTGTTCCAAGTTTATAAAAGCAGGCCCAAACCAGTTCTTCAGAGACAAAAGATACATGGACATCCCGGCCAGGTATCAGCACAACCAATGAACCATCATGGACTACCACCGAGATAAGCAGCCATTCTTTGGCAGGAAGAAGGGTGTGAGCGAAAACTTTACATATTGGCAAAGCCACAGTTGGGGGTTTCTGTGTAAACTGACTGCCTGTCGCCTGACCCCCAGCTAGAGATGATCCTCAAAGAGGGGGAAAGGGTACGAGAAACAGTGGCCTCCAAATCACCTCTCTCCCCCCATCTCTACTCACAGCAGCAGTGAAGTTGGAAAGACAAAGGAAGCATCACTGAACTGGGGGGAGATCCTGGCTGAAGCAATCCAGCCAGACTGCTGTAAGCTTATTGCAAGAAAAACATTTTTGCTTTAAGTTCACTTAGCTTGTTAAGGTAGCTTGTTAAGCTAGGTACTTCCTTGTAAAAGTATTTTTTCACACAACGCACAGTCAACCTGTGGAACTCTTTACCAGCAGATGTTGTGATGGCCAAGACTATAACAGGGTTTAAAAAAGAACTAGATATATTCATGGAGGATAGGTTCATCAATGGCTATTAGCCAGGATGGGCAGGGATGGTGTTCCTAGCCTCTGTTTGCCAGAAGCTGGGAATGTGTGACAAGGAATGGCTCATTTGATGATTACCTGTTCTGTTCATTCCCTCTGGGGCACCTGGCATTGGCCACTGTCAGTAGACAGGATACTGGGCTAGCTGGATCTTTGGTCTGACCCAGTGTGGCCGTTCTTATGTTAGGTATTAGTTTGCCTTTTTGCCCTTTTATTTTCATTGTAACCATTTTTGAGTTTGATGCCTCATTACTTGTAATCATTTAAAAATCTTTCTTTCTGGAGATAAGAAACTTGTTTTATTGTTTTATCTAAGCCAGCGTGTTTGGATTGAAGCGTTTGGGAACCTCCACTTGAGATAACAGAGTTTGTGCATATAATTTTCCATTGATGAAATGACTGTCTTTCTGCCTCGTATTGCCCAGCTGGGAGCCATGCAGTACAAGACGTACATTTCTGGGCGATAAGGCTGGGACTGGGAATTTGCTGGTGTTGCCCTGTATGTAATTCATGGGTGGCTGGCCAGAGCCCTCACGTCATTTAGCTGGGAGTGATTTTGCAGGTATGGGGCTATGAGTGAGTAGGAGCAGGAGTGGCTGTTCTCACAGCAAAGCAGCGCAAAAGGCAGCGCAGTCTAAAAAATTAAGGGGACATAGCTGTTCAACAGTCCAGATTGTACCCAGGGTAATGTAACAGGGGGCGCTGGGCTCGATAAGGGCTGCTCTTTTTCTTTAGCACCCACCTTTGTTGGTTGAGACAGTGAACGATTGATCCAGGTCATCATTGGAGGCCTGATAGGAAGAGAAATAAACTCACATTATCCCTGGCTGTGGGGAGCCTCCTGATGCCAAATACACGCCAGGAGCTCCCCACCATCCTTGATTCTCTGAGCTCCCCATGGAGGGCTCCCCTCCCGAATGTGCCTGCCCAGGGGAGGGGGGATTCAGGGATGTGGGGGCAGGAAGGGTGGGCTGGTGGAGTTCAGGGGGTGGGGATGGGAGGAGGGGGCAGGAGGAGGGGTGGGGTTCAGGGCCTCTCACCTGCTCCCCTGGGTCACTCTCCATGTCGCACTGCAAGGGAGAAAGACAAAGGTGGGATGAGCGGAGGGCGAGCTGCCTGAGCCTGCCCCTAGGGGGTGCCGTGGGCCAGACAAAGGGGGGAGAGGCGGAGCGCGAGGGAGCCACTTACTATGTATCCTGTTTCCAAGTAGGAGCGGAGGGAGGCCTGTGGAAATGAAGGGGTATGATTGGCAGCACCGCCCCCTGCTGAGCAGGGTTGGGATGCCCCTGCCATGTGTCATGAGAATTTCCTGTAACCCACCCCCCCCCGGCCTCCATCCCAAAGTCCTCATCCAGCCCCCACCCTCCCTTGCATCCCCCATGCCCCGTCCCCCTGCCCAGCCCCCCCACCCTCTCTTGCAGCCCCATGTCATACAGCCCCTCAGTTCTCCCTGCCCAAACCCACAAACCCCTCTCCACTGACCTCTTTCCTCCTCCTCTTGCTGCGTCTCCTCAGCGCCCGCTCCCCCGCATGCCGCCCACACCCCTTCTCTGAGCTCTCATCATGGCCCTCCTCCTCTTCTGAGCCACTCCCCTCGTCCCGCTTCCGCTTCCCCGAGTGCTTCAGCCGATGCTCCAGCCGCTCGGGGGTCCTCAATGTTGTGTCCTTCTGTGGGGAGGGGGAGACGGTGAAGCAGCTCCTTGAGGACAGATGACACCTGCCCAGCCATCTCTAAGGAGTTCCCTCACAGAGTGCTGAGATGCAGCCACCTCTGGGGTGGAGTGTGGGGGGCTGCTTATACTGGGATCCCCTGCCCAACGCTGAGATATGGCCACCTCTTGGGCAGGGCACAGGGACGGTTTACGTAGGGATCTCTTGCCTGGCGCTGAGAAGCAGCCACCTGGGGGGCGTGACATGGCAGACTATAACTGCCCTAGTGGAGTTCAACCTTTACTCTGGAGTACACGCCTTGATTCGTAATCAGTCCAGTCTGACAAGAGGAGCAAGCATGAGTCACTGCAGAACAGGAACACATGGAGCTCAGAGAGCTCCCCACCCTGCATTCCTGAAACCTGGATTCCCTGCTTCACATCTTAACCGGAAGGTGTCTTAGGGTATGTCTACACTGCTCGTGTTACCTGTGGCCACACTTTTTATCTGGCAGTGATAAAAAATAACCACCCCGAACAAGGTGTCTATACAGGCACTGTTCAGCGCTAAAACTTTTGTTGCTAGGAGGGGTGTTTTTTTCACACCCCTGAACGTTTTAGCGCTGAAAGTGGCAATGTAGACACAGCCTTAGGTGCGGCCTGACACAGCACCTCTTCCCAAAGGAGAGCAACCTTCCTGGACACAGCACCCAGCATCCCAGACAAAAGTCATGGCCCCGTCCCCCTGCTATATCCCAGCCCTCAGGAACCCTTGCCACTGAGAGATAGCCCTATCTCTCCCACTATATCCAGTGCTAGGAACCCGCGGTTCCAATGTACAGGTGTGTTCTCTCCCCGCCCCCCCATGCTATGTAACATCCCCTGGCACTGCAACACTGCCCCTCCATCATGCTGTCCTGCCGCCCCCCCCCCCCCCACTATATCCCATCCCCCGGGAACCCCCATCCCCAAAACACATCCCTGTCTCCCCAACTATATCTCAGCCCTCAGGAACCTCTGGCACCTAACTACGTCCCTCACTATATTCCAGCCCCCAGGAACCCACAGCACCGAGACATGACCCCACCTCCACTGCTATATGCCAAGTACTCTAGAAACGTAACCACATAAATCCACTCTCTCTGGGCTGGGCTGCCTACAATTGTCTGTTTTGGGTGTGGGGTATGTGTGTCACACACCACTGTGCTTCGCTTGGAATGGGCTCTGCTATGTGTGTCCTGTGCCCTATAGCGCCTGTGGCTGAGGATGATTCTCAGCCCCTCACCTCCAGTGCCTCCAGACTGATGAAACTAGCAATGGCGAAACCGTCAATCAGATCCTCTTCCTCCTCCTCCTCCTCCTCATGGCTACAGGAGGAGCCTGATGGTCTTGTCCTCCGGCGCAAAGGCCGGCGCCGGGGCTTACCGGGTGCCACAGGGGCTGGCGGGGCGGGACCTTCGCTCTCTGAGTCTGAGGAGGAGGAGAGGACGCCCCGGTGGGTGGGCTCCCCCGGGCGTCCCCCCCGACGTTGGCTCCGGCGGCTCTCGCGGTCCCGCCGCGAGCAGCGCCGCAACCTCCGGGCCCTGCCACCTCCCCCGCTCCAGCAGGGGGCAGGAGCGGCCGCTGCTTCCATGCTGCCCCTGGCCAAGCCTCTTCCTGCGACGCCCTTCACCCCTCTCCGGCCTGCTGCATGGCAGCTGTTCAGAACTGGGTCCTCGCTCTCTCCTCTGGGCGCTGACCGGTGGAGAACTGGAGGCGGGAGGTGCTCCCCCAGGAAGCAGAGGGAGTGTGTCTTCGTCCTCTCCTTTAAGGTGGATTTTGACACGCGCTGGCAATCGTCCCCTTTGAAATCCGATTTAGGGCCCCCCAACACGAACTCCCTGCGGCAGCTGCTTTGGGGGGCCTTGCCTTCAGAACGCCACAGCGGCTGCTCTGTGCGTCTTCCCCTTTAAGGCAGGCCTTTCGAAGAACAGAGGTTTAATGCCCCTTGACATAAACTCCAAGCCTGGGGGGGCGGGCCGAGGTGCACCTCCCCTTTAATTCAGATTAAATTGCTGCCGAAACAAACCATGCTACCACCCTCTTTCCAGGGGCCTCCCCTTCACCAGCGGGGCCTCCCCTTTAAGGATAGGGGAGGAAAGGGCTGAGGCGGCTTCTCGCAGAGGCCTCCCCTTTAATCAGGCCTCACATCCCCCCCCCCTTGCGGGGTTGGGGGCCCCTCCTCAGAATAGGTTTAAATCCCTCCCCGCACCAAGTGCAGCGTGGGGGAGGGTGGCTTCTGGGGTGCGTGGGCTGGCCACCCCCACCGCAGTCAGCCGCTTGCGCAGCCGGCCTGGGGCCACTTCCCCTTGGAGAGTCCCGATTTAAATGCCTCCAGCAACCCAACACGCCGGGGGGGAGGGGGGGACTTCCCCTTGAAGGCTCCGGCTTCCCCTTCTGCCAGCAATGGCAATGGTTGACGTGCCGAGGAAGGCGCCTCGCCTTTAACGACCCCGGGGCAAGTCTCCGCAGCCGACGCGCCTGGCTCGGGGGGAGCCGCCTCCCCGGTCAGGATCCGGGTCGAACGGCTTCTGCCTCCCGCGGGGTGGGGGTCACTGCCCCTTTAAGAAACCGGACTGAAACCGCTTCTTGGCATTCGTGTCAGGGGGCCACGTCCCTTTGGAGAACCCGGAGTTTAAATCTCACCAGCCACTTCCGTCATTAGCCAGCCAGCGTCCCCTTTAAGAACCTGGCGTCAAAGTCCTCCGACAAGAAACCACTTTCCACAATGGGGCAGGAGCGAACTCCCCTTTACCAGCTCGGGGCTTCCTTTAAATCCATTGACAGGCGCTGGGAAGAAGAAGGGGGTTGTTTTCTTCCGGTAGAAATCCCCCTTGACGCCTCACGTTGCTCTGTCCCTTTAAGAAAGCGGCCGTAGAGGGCAGGAATCCGTTGACGGCGGGGAGGGGGTCTCGCGGCCGTTGCGGGGAGCGGGGCGTCTCGCGACCCCCGCGCTGATTGGCCGCGAGGCTCGTGCCCTACGCTGTCCTCGCTGCCCCCCGCCCCCCGTTGATTGGCGGAGCGGGGGGGATGGAATGGTTCGGTCCGAGCCGGTTTCTCCTTCCCCCACGGGAGAGGGCCCGGTTGGTCTCGCCCTCCCCCTCCACGGGCCGCGCCCCGCTCGCTACTGTCCCCCGACTCTCTCGGCTCTGTCTGTGCGCGTCGCCGTCGGATCCTCTTCTCTTCTGCGCACGGCACGCGACGCAACTCCGACCACAGCGTGCGATCCCTCCGCTACGTGCTGAAAGCACAGAGAGACAAAAAATCCCTCCGCTAGAAGTAGTAGTCCCTACAGCCCCTCCCCAGGCCGAGACTCTCCCTCCCCCACATTGTGATGTCACAACGTCCCCAGGAGACGCAAAAGCATGTTGATGTCACCGCACAGCTTGATCACATCACATCCTACTCTGATGTCATAGCCCCACCATACTACGACATCACATGACAAGACCTGATTCTGTCCTGATGTCACCAACCACCCTTGTGATGTCACAGCCCCAGTGCCCCACCCAACCCCAGCACCATGCATGTCACATGTTGGCCTGCTCTCAGAGTCCCGCCCAATCACACCAGGTCAGCCCAAACCCAGCTCCATCCCTCCCCCACCGCAAACCACAGCAGTGGGGAGGGGGTATGACCCCACACCCAGGAGCCAGGTATGGAGGCTTGCCTATGCCTTGCTGCCAGGGACACAGCTGCTCCATCCCCACAGGCCAAGGATGGCTGTTGACAGGAGGCTTAGGCCAAGGCCCAGATGAATCCAGCTGGGTAAAAATGAGCCTGTCACCTCATAACCCGCAGTCAGCCCCCATCTCCTTCATGTAACAACACACAGCAGCTGGGTACCTAATGCAAAAGCATTTCTGATCCCAACCTCCTGGGATATCTCATCCCAATCCAGTGCCAGCACTCAAGGGACAATCACTTTGTTTGTACAGCACCAAGCACAATGAGACCAGGACTGTGACTAGGACTCCTAGGTGCTACAGTAAAGGAGTTGCCTTAACACTGGCCTCCTCCCATCTGCTTTCCCTTGCATGAAAACAGGAGTCTCTTCTGCTGCAGCTCCAACCCTCTTTGGGGCCCTGGTCCCCTAACAGATGGGGCACAGGCAGGGCAGATTCTGGCATGGCATTGGAGTGACTATGGCAGGCTCAGAGCTGCCAAATGAGCCTGAACAAGCAGTCAATTAGTGACAACAGTAGGGTTTAGGGTTAACAGCCTGGGCCAGTTAGGCCAGCAGCTCCAGGTGGATATATCATCTCCCACCCACAGGGCACTGAGGTTCAGGGCTTACCTCCCATCAGCTTCCTCCTACATCCGCTACCTCTCAGACCCCAGCTGAGGAGCTCACTGCAGCACAGCATCCCCTAATGGTGTGTAGGGATCAGCACTGACTGCAAAGGGAGAGTGCCCCCTATTGAGCTCCCCCCTGCAGCACAGTGGCCCCTAGTGCCAGGGAGAGCATGAATGAAGCAGATCAGACAACAGGATGGATGTTTTTGTTGAAAAGTTTAATAGAAATATAAATCTCAAAAAACTCCACACACATAAAACCAGCAAATATCCACTGACTGACCCAACAGGACCCAGCCCAGGAGACACCCCACACCCAGGGCTCCTGCCAGTGCCCCCAAGGCTGCAGTCACACTTCAGAGGGGAAAATGCCCTCCTCCTGATAAACACAGGGACCTGATGCCCTGGTGCCTTTTCCCACAAGCCCCCTCTCCTGCCCTATATCCCAGCCAGACTGGACAAAGGCCACTAGCCCCCCAGGCACTCCGTGGGAGGTGACCCTAAAATGGCTAATACTGCCCCCTCCCAAACAATCAGCCCCCTGGTACGTTCAGCCACCGCGGGGGGGGGGGGTTGGGGCGCTACACAGAGGCACTGGGACGATGGAAGCACCAGGAGGATTTGTGCGTAGGCAACTGAGTGCTGAGAACAGGAAGGTTCGTCACAACTGCTGGACATTCATCCCACCCCCACTCCACTCCTGGACCGGACCTGGAGCCTGTGAGGGGAGCAGTGGTGGAGGCAGCTTGGCAACTGGCTGCAGGACAGCTGCCTTGGCTCAGGCAGATCTGGGAGCAACCAAGAGCTGCCCCCAGGGGAGCAGCCAATTATGGGTGGAACTAGGGCTCAAGGGGGAGATGTCTCCTCCTGGGCAGCAAAGGATTCTGGGCAGAACTAGGACATCTCTGTCCCAGAGAGATCTCTGCTTGGACATGGGTCCAGGAGCCCCAGGGGAGCGGAGGATTCTGGGAGTACCCCTGAGGACATGATGGCTCTAGGAGGATCCAATAGCAGAACATTCTGGGTATAGCCCCAGGGGAGATGCTCCCTGGAAGAGCAGAGGCTTCTGGGAGGTAACTACTCTCCTTGGATACCAGAGGATTCTGGGAGCTCCCCCAGGCCAATGAGCAATACCAAGGACAGAGGGGCCATTCAGTCTCTGGTTCAATGCCCAGCATGGATCTGGACAGTGCACAGCGCCCCCTAGTCCCCATCAGCTTCAAACAGGGCGTCCAGCTCGGCTAGGCGCTGGTGCAGCAGTTCCTCCAGGTTGGGGTGTTGGGGTGGGGCCCGGCGCCCACCTGGCGCTCGCCCCGCCAGCCTCCCCCGGGGCCGGGCACGGCGCTGTTTGCGGGGCAGGCTGCTGTCCTGGAACTCCATGGTGCGCTTCAGCTTGCGCTGGCTGGTAAGCACCAGTGCCCCGTTCCGCTCCCGAGGCTCCTCGAAGATCGTCTCGAAGGTCCTACGGGGGAGGAGAGAGGGCTAGATGGGACCCAGGTGCTCGAGTCCACCAACCCACTCTGTATCCCGGCTGGAACGCCTATAGTACAAATGGAGCCCAGACACCTCGATCCTTACCTACTGTGTCCCCCACCTGGGACACCCTCAGCACAAGGGGCGGGGGGAACGGGGATCGGACTCCTGGGTCCTCCACTCAGGACCAAACACCTCCTGCTGCTTAGGGGGGCAGCAAGTTTGTGGGCTGGACACCTGGGTTCCCAGCAGCAAGAACCAACCCCGGCTGGATTTAACATCCTGCACCCCACCTCAACTCTGAAGCCAGGCTCTCCCCTTCCTGTGAGTTGGAGGAGGGGGGTGCCCCCCCTTGTAGCCACCCCCAACCCCTCACCCCCTCCAGCAGCAGCACCCTGGGCCCCCTCACCGCTTCTCGGTGGGAGTGCGGTAGTTCTTATTGGTGTAGATCTCCTCCAAACTGAACTCCTTCTTGTTCAACCTGTGATGGGGAGACCGGACTTAGCAACAACGCACGGGAATCCCTTGTCCGTGCCGAGACTCAGCAGCCTCGGGGGTGGGACGTGGAGGCTGGACAACCACCACACGACAGGAATGGAAGAGAATCCTGTGGCCAGCTGTAACTGCTGGGGAGATTCAGAGCTGGGGATAGAACCCAGGAGTCCTGAATCCCAACCACTCCCCTCCCCCAGAGCTCCCAATACCTGACTGGCCGGGGCAGGCCCATTGGCGTGAGGTTGGCTTGCTGTTTGGCTGGGGTCTTGCGGATGCGGAAGCGGGACACTTTCCCTGTGGTTTCTTCCTGGGAGCACTGCAGGGAATGGGGAGAGAAATAGGACAGGATCAGGAAAGATTCCCTGTTATGCACACAGTGAGTAGAGAGTGCCCCCTTCATCATTGTGCCCTGCTGAGCCCTGTCCCGCAGCAAAGTGCCCCCCACCAAGCCTCTGCTCCCCGCAGCACAGCGCTCCCCACTCCCCGCAGCACGGCACCCTCCCCCACCGCGCTCCTGGCAGCACAGCGCCCCCTGCTGAGCCCCCCGCTCTCCACAGCACAGCGCCCCCAGCGGTGCACTTGGGACTCTGGGTCCAGCGCTGCCTCCCATTGCTCCACCTCACCTTGGCATCTGTGTGTGACAGCAGAATCCCACCCGTGGTGATGCCATGGCCCCTGTCCCCCTGCTCCGGGCACTGGGAGCCGTCCCTGCAAGGCAAGAAGACCATATGGACCAGGAACCTCACAGGGCCTTTTCTGGAGGACCAGGCAATGCCACGGCACTAGGAGCCCAGATGCTGGGGCAAGGCAGGATGGCAGTGGGATGGCCTAGGCCAAGGCAGGGTGGCAAGAGGGATGGGGCAGGGTTATCTGGGGCAGGGTGGGGTGGTGAGGTGGTGTTAGGGGATAGCAGGTGTGGCAGGCAGCAACAGGGTTACTGGGGGCACGGCAGGGGGGCTCAGGGGGAAGAGTTCCCCGGGGCGAAGCAGGGGCTCAGGGGGCAGGGTTACCTGGGGCAAAGCAGGGCAGTGGCAGGCTCCTCATGGTGGGGTGGCCCCGGGCAGGAGGAATGGGCCTCGTCGCAGCGGGTCATACACACCACTGGGCTGAGCAGGTGGCGGGAGGCTGGGGAGGGGAAGGGGAAGACCTCCTTGCGCAGGCAGGGCAGGATGGGGGGCGAGGGGTGGCCCCGCAGCAACTCCCGCGACACCTCCAGGCTGCAGACCGTGTGACGGCGACGGCGCGGTGGGCAGGGGGCGGACGCTGGCAATGGGGACGGCATGGCCCAGGGGAAGTCAGGGCAGGAGTAGCTGCGACCCAGGCGGGGCTGGCTGGGGTCCTCAGGGCTCAGGCGCCACTGGCAGATGGGGGGTCTGCGGCTCACAATGCTGTCCCCATCCCCGTCATCTTTGGCCTCGCCAGGGCCCCTCCTCTCTGCTGGCTCCGAGATGGCAATTTTGACCTCGATGTTCACCCCCTGGCGTGAGCTGTGTGCCCCCTGCTGGCTCGGCCCGCTCCGACTCTGAGCTGGCTCCTCCTCGGGGTGGGGGAGCTCCGCCGGCTGCCCCCCACCTTCTCCCTCGTCCGGACAGGGAGACGGTGGGGGGCGCAGGCGCGGCTTGGCCGGGCTCAGGAAGATGTCAGCAAAGGTCTCCAGCTTGGATTTGACACTCTGGAAGAGCGGGGCGATGCCCCAGTGCCGCAAGTTGGGGACTGTGGCCCGGGGGCGCAGCAGCGAACAGATCGGGGGAGGCCAGGCGGAGGAGGAGGAAGGCAGGAGGTTGACAGATGGCTCAGCTTCTTGTGGGGCAGGATCTGCTGGGAGGAGGGCACAGGGGTCAGGAGAAGTCAAGGGAGGACCACATCCTGCGATGCACAGACAGCCCCCAACAGTGCCGAACCCACTAAACCCTGAGCAAGGTCCCAGAAAACCCCCAAAACAAACTCTTGCCTCCCCGGCCCTGTTTTCAGAACAAAGAAGAAATTTTGACTTCCCA